CCGCCCGGGCCACGGCCGGGCCACAGCCACGAACAAAGACAGGCCGGCGCACGGCCGGGTGAGGGGCGGGTTAGGCACAGACACGGCCCCCACGTACGGGGGACGGACGGACAGGCTGGGAGTGGCGGTCGGGGACACACTAGCGGGCCATGGGGATGAGAGGGACAGAGGAAAGGTCTGGGGGCTGGTTCTGCAACCAGGCAAGAAGTCGGGGGAGGATGGACAGGCAGGCAGGGGCAGACGGAGGGCTGGATGGACCAGTGGATGGAGTCTCAGCCGCACGGTACGAAGGAAGGAAGGATGCATAGACATACCAGCAATCTGAAGGATGGACGGGAAAGCTGGCAGATGGTTGGAGGAGGGAGGAGATGGACGGATGGAGGGCAGATGGAAGCACAGTTGGACGTGACAGTGAGATGCTGAGGGGAACCAGTGGCCAAATGGATAGGGAGACTGCAATGCCCAAGAGTGCAAAAACAAAGGGCCGGACAGAAAGAAGGACGAATCAGTGACTTGGGGCATGAGGCTGCAGTAGTTCGGCTTTGCAGTCCCCATGGCAAGACCATGCTTCCTAACTCAGCTGATTCGAAGGGCCACGAGTCCCCATTTCACCCTCTCAGGAGCCATATGTGCCCAGAGTAAGGGGCTGGAGCCTGGTCCAAAGTCTAGCCAACTTCAAAGAGGCTTCCTAAAGTGAGCCCAAGTTCTCCACGCCTGCCCCAGAGCACAGGTAAGGAAGGCAAAGGCAAGAGGGCAGTTTTGAACACAGAGCCCTCTGCTTCCTGTATTTCTAAACACCATGCAAGTCCCTACCACCATGAGATTCCTGAGCTTAAAGTAAGAGGGGCCTCCTCAGCAGCGGTCCTCCCCAGGTCCCTCCTGCAATGTTTTGCTTTTTTTCCAAAAGGAAAGCAAAATTATGAGGCATGTGGACACACATGTCACAACCAGCATAAGCATGGACACCTCTTTAAAACAATTTCTGTATAGTTCCCCTATGGCCTTTTATAGCTAAGGATGTGCAGAGTTCCATCTCCCCACACATTCCCTCCCTGGCTTAGCTCATATTCTGCTCTCAACTTGAGCAGTCACTGGGACTGACTAGAAGAGGAGCAGTGAACAAGCTGGGTTCAGGGGCTTCATAGCATCATAACAGGCTATCAGGAAACCCAGGGTGTATGCTCTCCTTAAAAGGCAATCGAGGTCAGGTCAGATAAAATGGCAACAAAGAAAACCACCACTGCTTTGTGATACCTGCTTCAAACATAACTTCCACACAACTTATGATTCTGGAGGCAATGACATATTTTATGAAGTACACCCAGCATTAAGATACTGGGGGTGGGAGGGGTCCTGTGGTTAGATGCATTTATTAGGTTGCTTAACTTCTCTCCTTTTATGTTTTCACTTAAGCATCAGCTTAAGTTTAGAGAAGAAGAATTGTTGGTTGCATTTAGAAATATACATATTGCTGTGCAAAGTGGTAGAATGACTTCAAATGTAACTGAGATAAATAATGCTTGATTTGAAAATTTAGGCATTATTTAGGCTGTTGTGGGCACTTTACCCTTATCAACTCATTTAACCTTTACAACAAGCCAACAAGGAAAGACTACTAACCCATTTCACAGATGAGGAACAAAGAAAGTCAGTCAACTCCAAAGTCACACAAGCTAGTAAGTGGTAAAGCTGGGATTTGAACACAGATATTCAGACCAGAGGCTTTCAACTGCACGCTCCATGCAGGCGTCCTCAAACTGCGGCCTGCCTAGGACATTTATCCGGCCTGCCGGGTGTTTTTGCTGCGGCTGCCTGTCCTGCTTAGCAGCTGACTCATCCCACAGCCCACAGTCTGCCCTCCAACGGTCTGAGGGACAGTGAACTGGCCCCCTGTTCAAAAAGTTTGAGGACCCCTGATCTACTGCCTTTCTAAATGTAAAATTAACAGGTCTACATAATAAAAATAAGCCATAAGCAGTAGATCTCTCTCTCCCAACACTGTTTATCTTCTTGCCAAAAGGAAGCCATCAGTAAGAGTTGCCTTCCAGAAACATGCAAGTATGCAGATACAAGCATACACTTAGATTTATAAACTGTGTGTATCTCTTAATAGAAATAGAAACATTTAGATGCAATACTACACCTTCTTATTTCACTTAACATATCTTTGAAGATTTTTCTGTATCAAAACATATACATCTACTTCATCTTGTGGACTGCAAAGTAATTCATTGTAAAGTAGTAGTACAATTTAATTCACTAGCCCTCAACATTTATGTGATTTCTAGACATTTTCTTACATAAATAATGCTATGATGAGCATTTTTATATTTATGTCTTTCCTCATCTACACAAGCCTAAGTCTGGAGAAGAAGAATTGTTGGCTGCATTTAACATCTGATACATATTGCCAAGTTGCTGTGCAAAGCAGTTACACGAATTCATATATAACTGATTTATAAATAATGGTTGATTTTATGTAAATTTATATTTACGAAGTGACATTTATCTGTATAAAAGTCTAAAGCACTGGTAGGGAGGATGTTTTGCTTTCGAATGTTTGGAACAAGTCAAACTATCACATTTACCTCCTTCCTTATGTCCTTTAACAATATCCTCAGCAAGAAAAGCCTATTTTAAAATTTTTATATGAAATTTCTGTAAAAGAAAATATGTACTATGTAAAACATTCCTTTCAGAATTTAGAACTAGGAATAGTCTGGTGGTTTTTCTTTACTGAATAGCAATTATAATCCTCTCTCTCTTTTTGCTTTGGCTTCCAGGATGCTCAATATTACTTTTGGTGCTAAATCACAACATTGATATTAACCAATAAAGAAGCATCATTATAATACATATTTATATGCATATATAGTATATGTACTAGATATACTATATATATGTATATTCCTGTTTCTACTTTAATGACCTAATAGTACACATATTGTGAACACCTCAAATCTACTTTGGAAGCAGGTGGTATATGAATAAATAAAATTTAAATGACCTTAGGATTAATAAAAGGAGTTAGGCAAAATGACTAAGGTGAGAGGCAAGGAGGGGAATATTCCTTTCCTGTTTGAAATGAGTAAGAGACAATTATTCTTACTGCTCTTCACAATCATTCTTAGAAGATAACCAATTAGGAAAATGTCCTCTCTTCTGGGAACTGGATGGCAGGAATTGGAATTTCAAGGTAGAAAGAGAACTTGGAGATCATCTAAGCAAACCCATCACTTTACAAAGGAGGAAACTGAGGCCCAGAGAGGTGAGGTGACTTACCCGAGGCCACAGCTCTAGGAAATGACAGAGGCGGGACTAGAACGTGGGTAGCTTGAGGTCCAGGCCAACGTGCTCTCCCACTGCGTCACACCCAATGCAGAAGATTTGGGGTGGAAGGAGAGAGGAAGAGAAGGTGACCCCACAGCCCCTAGCAATGAAAACAACAAAAAAGACTTGAGGCACTCATAAATAATTAAGCAATTAGCTGCAGCAGCTACTCCCCTCCCCTCCAGCATCCAGTCACCAAGGCAACTTGGGCAGGGTGCCTGATGGTTGCCTAGTAACAGTGTGGTCTGCTCCCCTAACATGTTCCCTAGGCATCAAAGGATTTGAGAGCTAGGAAGAACCTTAGACAGGGATCAGTATCCCAACACCTTCATTTTCCAACTGAGGAAATGGAGGCCCAGAGAAGCTGGGTAACCTGCCCAAGGTGACACAGCTACTCAGAGGCACAGCCAGGCTCCATTCTCAGTTGCTTTTCATTACACCAGGGCTGCCTCAGGGAGGCTGAAGATGGAGGAGAGGGGGAGAGCTCTCCACTGTTCCTACAAGAATGGGAAAGTCAGAGCGAACAAGCCGGCAAGAAAGAGACAGAGACCTTGAGCTCTCACATGCAATTAGCAGGAGCTGGTAATCCCATCAGCCCAACTTTCATTATCACCATGGCAACATGGGTGAGGTGGGTGCTGGTTGCCTAGTAACAAGTGGTCCTCTCTGTTCCACTCACATCCGGCTCCCTGGGAGTCAAAGAAGCAGCAGAATGTTGGAGTTGGAAGGGAAAGCAGGAGTCCTAACTCAGCCTACTCCTTTGACCAACAAGGAACCCGAGATTCAGGGACACTGCAAGTCACACAGCCACAGAGCTAGCTAGTGACATTCCTTCCATTGATAGCCTTTGTCACAGCACTGCAGAAAGGAAGCTTTCCCTTCTGTAAAGTCAGAACAAGCCTGGAGAATGGTTCCCTCGAAAGGAGATAACTTCTGTCACGTGTCTAAATGATGGCAAATGCCACTCACAAAATTTGGCACACATTAGATGCTCACGGGAGGTGCTGTGCTATGCATAGTAATTACACGCAGGCTCTCTAAAGTCAGAAAACCTGAGTTAAAAGCCAGTTCTCCTTTAACCTGACAAGTTTTCTATCCTCTCTATGCCTCAGTCTCCACATCCAAGGAATGGGCATCCTATCTCTACCTCTTGAGTCATCATTAGGATTAAATGAGAAAATATATATGAAAAATGCCCATAAAGATGCAGGAAATATTAAACATTCATTTATTCTACATTCAATAAGCATTTTTGCATGTCTGCTATGCTGTCCTAGGTTCCCGGGATTTATTAGGGAGCAATACAAACAATACAGACAAAAGAAAATCTTGGGCCAAGAATGGTGTAATCCCAGCACTTTGGGAGGTAGAGGCGAGAGGAGGTTGAGGCCAGGAGACCAGCCTGGGCAACACAGAGAAATTATGTCTCTACAAAAAATTAAAAATTTAGCTGGGCATGGTGGTACATGGCTGTAGTCCTAGCTATGCAGGAGGCCAAAGCAGGAGGATTGCTTGAGCCCAAGAGTTCAAGGCTGCAATGAGCTATGTTTGTACTACTATACCTCAGCTGGGATAATGGCGTAAGACTCTGTTTCAAAAGAGAGAGACAGAGACAGAGAGAAGGAAAGAAAGGAAGGAAGGAAAGAAAGGAAAATTCCTGTCTCAGGGATCTTATATTATAGAAGAATATATGTGTGTGTGTGTTTATATATTTATATTTATATATCTATTTATTTAAGTGTTTGTTGAATGGGTGGAAGAAATCATTGGCAATATGCTGTTTATGTTGCTGGGCTCCTTCCCTAAGACTGAGAAGTTTCCTGTTTACAGGGTGTGATGCTATAAATACACAGGCCTGTCATCTATGTGGGAACTTTGTTTTCCTTTCTTTTAAAAGCTCAAAAGAAAAACTGAAGGCAGTGGCCACTAGATGGCAGACTCCAGTCCCCCGTAGACAGGGCACAGAAGGTGCAGGTCTGGGGCACAGGCCCTGAATGAAGCGTCCAGCAAAGTCAAGTGTTACAGCTGGTCAGACCTAGGGGCAATGGCTTGGAAAGGTGAGGGAGACTTGAAATTATTCTGGGACATTGTGAGGTGTCACGGGAGGCTGCAGGGTGGTTTAAAGAGTGATTCCTTTGGAGTGAGACTGAACCCTGCTTTAATAAGATCCTGCCTTGGGCAAGATGTGTGACCTTGGGAAGTTATTAACCTTGCTGTACTCTGGGACAGGAAGATGGTAACAAAAGCTCCCTCAAGGGGATGCTTAAGGCGTAAGAAAACATGGTCTAAAGAACCTTGTAAGCTGCCCATAGCAAAAGCTCAACCAGTATTATTTACCAGATTGTAAAGGCCACTGAAGGTCTGACTCAGAGATGCAAATGGAAGGGAAGGGGTAAAGAAAATAGCACTTGTTAAGCATTTGTGATGAAGAGACTGACGTCCCCACTGCCACTGAGCCTGGAAAGCACGGCCTTAGGTTTGGTTGTCCCATTGTCTACATCTACCCGCCTATCAGCCACATAGCCCTGTCTCGTTCTGCCCACCTCCTGTGTTGGTCTTCTTTCCCAATTCCCGCTGGTCCCAGCCCTCCCAGTCCTTACCTCCTGAGTTCCAGCCAGGCTCGGCAAGGAGGACGCAACACCCTTCTACCTCATTTCCTCACTCCCAAACACCTGCTCCTCCAACCTGCTGCCAACAGTGAGGGGCCTGAACAACAGTCCCCAAACACCAATTTGCTTCTAACTGCTCTCAGAATAAAACTCAAGTTCTTTCTGGTAGCCAAGAGGATTCAGCATCTTCCAGATACTTCCTGCCTTTCTAGACTCACAGCTGAGTTCTCCCTGTTCCTCAAAGTTTCTCCGTGGACATGAAGCATTTGCATATGCTGTTCCTTTTCCTGAACTGGCAGTCCCTAGCATGGCCGACTCCTTCTCCCTCTTGGGCCCCCACTCCAACACAGGTCTTCTCTCTTTCCTAATTATTTCCTTTAAAGCATGTGTCACAAGCTGCACGATTGACTACTCATCTCCCACACCAATAATATCCAGTGCAAGTGGGCAGGATAGGGCTGGGCCTCTCATCTTCGCCAGTATTCCCAGTGCCCAGTGCACAGGGGGTGCACCACCAAGATTTGTTAATGGGCTGGTACGCAGCTGAAACCGATTAAAGGAAGAGTCTGACTTCATCTCTCAATTTCTAGTCTTTCTCTTGGGCCAACTTATCTTTTGTATGAATGGCACAATGGTCTTCTTAAAAAGCACTTTGTCATATTAACTTCTTATGTTCAAAAGCCCTAAATGGCTACCTACCAGGACAAGTTTCTTGTCTAGCATTTGAAATCCTCTACACCTAAACCCACATTTGCAAATGCACCTGCAAGTGTATTTCCAAATATATTTGGCTATATGTATGTACATGATGTATATATATTTACATATACTTCAAAATATATAACTATGTATATTAAGGAATGTACCTGTACATGGAAATATATACTGTGTATTCCACACAAATTCAGCCCTACTCCCTTGGCACATCTGCAATGATATTAGCTCCTGAAGACAGGCCTGGGATTCCCTCCTGAACCACTGTGTCCCCAGTTCCTAGTACAGGGTCTGGCACAACATAGGAGAGTCAGCTTTGGTGAATCAATGATTGATCTACTCCCCACTTGGTAAATGCACTGTGTGTGCTCCTGTCTTCACACATGTGCCTGAAATCTTTCTTATCATCTAAATTCCCTAGCCATCCTTCAAGGGCCAGGAAAGGTCAATCACAGTACATCAGTCACTAAACATACTCCAGAATGGGACCAGATATCCAGTGAGTCTTGGGATGCTAGCTAGGCAGTGCCCAAACTACTTTCCCCCAGAAACCCTTTACTCTGGCAAAAAGAAGACTGGATAGTAACTAAGCTTTTCCCCAATTAAAAATAGGTCCTAATGATTTCAGAAATATTGGTTTTGTGGCCAATCTAAAAACTCCAATTGAAGAACCTTTGTTGGGTCCACACAGTATTGCACTGATTGGAAGTGCAACGCTTCACATAACCAGTTCCCACCGTTGAGATTTTTGATTGTCATCAGTGGTTATGTTCATCATGTGCAACCCTGCTACATCTGCACTCTGCCAATCACTGCCTTCTTCAAGGCAATCAATCAGAAATATGGAGATGGCTCACATCAGAAATGGGACTGAAGGGGAAGGCAGATACACCTCAACTTGGTCCTTAGCAATTTTTTAAAAAGAGGAAAAGATGATTAAGCTATTCAGTAATAAAAGAAAAGATGGAGACTTCACATTTTTGTATTAACCATGCATGGAGTTAAAACACATTCTTCTTAGTAATGTATCACAAAAATGGAAAAGAAAGTATCCAACGTACTCAATATAATATGAAGCCAGTAGATGATCTAATACACACCCACACAAGAGAAAAACTCAATTCAATTCAAGTTAAGGGGAGGGGGAATGAGGGAACTGGTGTGTGCCCACTTAATGGGCATAATGTAGGGGTACATGGCATACCTTTGGGGGTGGAACAAAACTGCAAGATGGACTCTATCTACCAAATTCAACTATTGTGACCTGGTTATTTGTACCCTCACATTAATCTGAAATTTAAAAAGAGAGAGAGAAAGAAAGATAAACAGTAGGAAGGCAATGTGATCAGAAGAAAGTCCAGAAATGTGTGTTTAAGCCCACGTTTAACAGCCCTGTGGTTTGGGACAAACCAATAAACCTCCTTGAGTCTCCTTTATCCTCAATTGAAAACTGAGAGTGCAAAATAATTCCTGCTGTCTGAATAATCAAATCGAGGCCATTTGGCAAGGCTCTACATAAGCCATAAAATGTCACAGGAGTGCTGGTGGTTGCTTTCTTATCACAGTTCCTGGAGGGCAGAGCTCTATATCTCTGCTTTTTGAACCTGGGTGTCCTCTTTTGCACTCTTTGGGGGATTTAGAAAAATGTAGAGTGAACAATTGTCCCAGTTTGCAAAGGACTGTCCCAATTTGACCACCGAAAGTCCCACATCTTAGAAAGCTTGTCAGTCCTGGGCAGACACGAGAGGCTGGTCAGCAAGCAGCAGGTCTGTAAAGC